AACTTGGGAGCTGGAGATCAAGAATGGAAGGGCAGAGGAAGAGGGAAGGTGTGGGTGAAGAAAGGGAGTCCTTATCTCCTTATAAAAGGCAGTGAATATCGAACGCCTCCCCATTCGCCTTAAAACTCGCCTATGGCCAAGGGTTGTGCGAACGGCATAGTTAGATTACCCACGCCCGTATTGATGAGAATCCCGCAATAAGGGGACACGATCTCTGCTTTGACAAGACGTGCCAATGGAAACCGCATCTGAAACGCGGAACAGCAGACAAAAACAGTTCGATATAATGACCGGACAGATGTGATGTCATCTTGCAAAAAGTTGTCAGCAGATGGGACTCGTGAAATATTATACTCTCTACAGCTGTGTGTGTGGTACTTGTGTTGCAGATCCGAACACGTTCGTTTCATCCTAAGACTATCTTGGAGTATTCAGAAAGGGGAACCCGCCTTGCAATGCCAAAGAAAATCTACGCGTCGGACACCTCGTCATTGAAGCCTGGTTCAGGGGCTACTGAGGGAGTCCTGGACTAAGGGGTCCTCGGGCGTCCGACCTATTGGACATGGGATGGACTGATGGGCTGTGAAGATACAAAGACCGAAGACTTTACTCGTGTCCGGATGGGACTCTCCTTGGCGTGGAAGGCAAGCTTGGCGACCAAATATGAAGATTCCTTTCCCTTTAACCGACCTTATGTAACCCTAGACCCCCCGGTGTTTATATAAACCGGAGGGCTAGGTCCATAGGGAGAGATCCTCATAATCATAGTCAAGCTAGACTTTTAGGGTTTAGCCATTACGATCTCGTGGTAGATCAACTCTTGTAATACTCACATTCATCAAGATCAATCAAGCAGGAAGTAGGGTATTACCTCCGTAGAGAGGCCCGAACCTGGGTAAACATTGTGTCCCCTGTCTCCTGTTACCATCGATCTTAGACACATAGTTCGGGACCCCCTACCCGAGATCCGCCGGTTTTGACACCGACGACGAGCTTTTCACATATTGATCTTTGCTTAGTTACTTTTCTGTTGCTACTATTACCATCACTACAAAACCAATATTGTTACTTTTGCCACCATTACCGTTACTTCCATATTACTTTGCTACTAAATACTTTGCTGCAGATATTAAGTCTTTCAGGTGCGGGTGAATTGACAACTCAACTATTAATACTTGAGAATATTCTTTGGCTCCCCTTGTGTCGAATCAATAAATTTGGGTTGAATACTCTATCCTCGAAAACTGTTGCGATCCCTTATACTTGTGGGTTATCAGTTCCTACATTTTCTACGAAGATCTTTATCGGTCGTACCGCAATGACAACATACGTTATTCCCTTTCTCATCAGTATATTACTTACCCGAGATTTGATCATCGGTATCTCCATACCTAGTTCAACCTCATTACCGGCAAGTCTCTTTACTCGTTCCATAATCATCATTCCACAACTAACTTATTAGTCACATTGCTTGCAAGGCTTATTATGATGTGCATTACGGAGAGGGCCCAGAGATACCTCTCTGATACTCGGAGTGACAAATTCTAATCTCGATCTATGCCAATCCAACCAACACCTTCGGAGATACCTGTAGAGCATCTTTATAATCACCCATTTACGTTGTGACGTTTGATAGCACACAAGGTATTCCTCCGGTATTTGGGAGTTGCATAATCTCATAGTCAAAGAAATATGTATATGCCATGAAGAAAGCAATAGAAATAAAACTTAACGATCATTATGCTCAGCTAACGGATGGGTCTTGTCCATCACATCATTCTCCTAATGATGTGATCCTGTTCATCAAATGACAACACGTGTCTATGGTTAGGAAACTTAACCATCTTTGATTAACGAACTAGTCTAGTAGAGGCTTACTAGGGGACATTGTGTTTTGTCTAACACACGTATCAAGTTTCCGATTAATACAATTCTAGCATTAATAATAAACATTTATCATGATATAATGAAATATAAATAACAACTTTATTATTGCCTCTATGGCATATTTCCTTCAATTGCCGCCTGACATGATTTGCTTGACTGTATTGCCCTCCACAAGCCTGATGTAGAAGCAGGCCCTGATCACGTTCGTGGCGTTTGGAGCCGTCGGGCCAATTCTACACCAAGTCCCTCTACCGGGCCATTGCCGTCTCCACCGCCCCCTTCCTCTTACAACGGTGTGGTCCATTCGCCTACCTCTGAAGATTAGGATCTTCATGTGGCAATGGATCCGCGGCCGGACCCCATCCGGTGTGGATTTCAGAAAGCGCAATGGTCCTGGTAACGGTCTTTGTCCGCTCTGTGGCGTCTTAGAAGACTCGAATCACATTTTCTTCTCCTGTGTGTCCGTCAAATTTATTTGGAGCTGCTTTAGAGAGGTGATTGGCGGCCATTGGTGCCACACCAATTTCCATGTCCTGTTCGCAGAACTCCAGGCCTTCCCCTGCGTACTCGCCACATTAGGTGGTTGGAGGTTGGGTTCCTCGCCTGGACCCTCTGGACGATCCGAAATAGACTTGTGATTCAGCGCATTCCGCTTCGACGTGCTACTGACGCTCTCTTCAAACTGTCTGGTTACTTGCAGCTTTGGCGGCCGCTTAGCTGCCCCAGGACCGTGATGCCATCTCTGCCTTCATCGCCGACCTTCGCTCGATGGCAGTCCACTTATCGCCGCCGCTTTCTCCACCGCCCCCCGAGCCGAATTAGGAGCCGTGCCGTGCTCCCCCCCCCCTCTTTGTGTTCTTCTTTTTTGAGCTTGTTGAGCTATGCCCTCAGTAGAACCTCAGTACTTGTTGTCGCTCTTTTATGTTAGTCTCTGTGTGTTAGGCTCTGACAGTTGACTTTATCTTAAAAGCGGAGTGAAAATCTTTTTCAGTAAAAAGACAATAAGATTAGATGTCCAACTCTTTCATCATCGTCCGCGGACTCGTCTCGACCGATCACAGTCGGATACCGTGTCCATTTCGAAGGCAGTGTTGAAGATGCCCTTAATAATTCAAAAGGTTGAAACAACACCTTCCACAAACAGAAATGCAGGTAGTACAGCAGCCACGGCGAGTAAATGCAGTCGTACTACATCTACGGCACGACGATTGCAACGTACCACCATGGTGGCCGGATATACAAGAAACCGCAATAAATTTCTACGCACGGCACATTCTGATTCGGATCACGCAGCGTCCCGGAATCCATGCCACGCTCCGTATGTTCCTTGTCATTCGCAGCCACTTCACTCCACGTCCACTCCACGATCCGCGTCCCTCCCTCGCCCATCATCACCGCCTTTTCTCCATTCCACGCGACGCACGCACGCACGCACGCAACCCACCCCACGTCCACGACACGAGCGGCGGGTAGGAGTAGGATATCCGAGAGACGCGAAAGGGAGAGGAGAGGAGCAAGAACACAACAAAGCAACAGTTCACGGGGCAGAAGGGTGGGAGCTGGGTGAATTCCGCCAACCTCCCGTCCCATTCGCCGCTCCCACTGCACACTGCGCAGTGGCACCAGCTCGCTGTTCCGCCCCCGCCCCCGCCGCCGGCCAATGCCCGCCGCCGCTCCCCCGTAGGTGCGCCCTCCCCGATCCCCGCCCTCCCTCCTCCCCCGCCCCCTTCCCCGGAACGCGCGACACGGGTGGGATTCTATCCTTTTGGCCGAGGATTTCTCGCGTTTCCGTTGGTGGCGCATTTTTTCTTCTTCCGTATCTGTTTTTTTAGGTCCATCTTCCTCCGCGGCGGAAGCCGGCCATGGGGCGCCGGACGCGCGGCGGCATTCGATTCAGGCCGCCGTGTTCTTCTCAGGCGAGGAGTTTGTTTGCGGTTTTGTTAGGTTTCGTCAGGGAATTTCGGGCCCGGGCGTGCGCAGGAGGGAGGGAGGGAATGTGGAGATCCGAGCTCGATTTATGATCCCCGGGACCAGAAATTGGCCATCGATGCTGGCGTAAAGGCGCCCGCTTTTACCCCCAGTTCCTCCCGTCCCTTTCCGCTCCCGCGCCCGAGAATTTATTGCTCCGACGCGCGCCTGTCTCTGCCAGATTCCCTGACCACCGGAGCTGTTGCCGTTCGCTGGCTCCTCTCGATTCCCGGATTAAACTGGGGAACCCAGCCGCATTCCGCGTGGAAAGCTCCGAGTTCTTGGTGTTTCTCCCCTCCCCGCGGAGAAGACTGCAGAGTGCGGACGCTCCTCGGACAGCTCCCCTTTTTCTTTTGCTTTGTGCCTTCAGAGTTCGTTCTCTGCTCCACAGTTTTCTACATCGCCTAGGTTACGTCTCGTTCAGCCGCCACAGTTTATATCAAAAACATTTTGAACTCAGCAGCTCGAGTTTTGAACTTCTCATCATACCATGAAGCGTACAAGCAAAGCCGATCTCCTTTCCAGTTTCCACCCCCTCTCTCTCATGTGAGCTGTGATTCCCCGAGCCCGTGCCTGCTAAATCATATATCTGACGACGGCAAAAGCGCAGCCTTAAAAAGCCTCTCTCGCCGCCTGCAAAGATTCCTTTGGATGGTAATCATGGCCATGAGTTGCTAAACCCGATCCAATGCACTCTGCATCATGTTACCCCCTGTTCGCTGCTGCTAACATTTTCCACTTTTCCAACTTGCCCCCTCCTGTCGCCAGGCACAGTCGTTTATCGCTTCGTTCCACGCGCCATTTTGCCATCTTCTCTCGGTTTTGAACAAGAACAGGGCCATCGACTGTGCTCGTGTGGCCTACCAACGCCTGCGAAAAACCCAGCCTTAGCCATGTGTGTGTCCAAGTTTTCCTGTGAGGACGGCATCGCGCTACAGTAATACCACCAGGCCTCCTCTTTAAGTCTTTATGTCCCGTAGGTTCAAATTTTAAGGCTTCAAATGCTACTTAAGAGCATCCCAAGACACTTCATTTCACTCTGCGCTATTGCTGCCCTGCTGGCTGTTTGTACCGGCCGCGGCTTATAAACGCTCTTGTTATTTAGTTAGCTTGATTGGCTGGCCTTGTGGATCTCAGGTACAATCATGTGGCTGGTGATGTTTCATGTCCTCTGCGTCCTTTCGCTTAACTTCTTTGCCGTGACACTGTTTTTTCAGGAATCCTATATCTTCGCTGATGTTGTAATGCTTGGAGGAAGTATCTTTAGTGAGAACAAGGCGATGATCAACTTGTTCGACCTGAGTACGGGGATGGCCAACACCAAGGCACTCTCTGACAGAGCTCACAGAGAAGGCACGTAAATTGCTCTTTATGTTTATTTTTGCAATGTTGTTGATCTGCAAGGTTTTTTTACTCAGTAATGCGTATTCAGTTGCCAGCTGCTTCATTTTACTTGAGATAAATGCTGCTTTTCTACAATATATATGTGGTACTACTTGGTGGTGGGTGGGGTGTAGCATTTTGTACATTTCTGCCCTAGGCTCTAATATTTTGGACATTTGCTGGCACAAATGTTGCCAATCTCCTCTCTCGTGTGGGGGACTAGATGGTGTTGGCATTGTATGGGAAAGTGATTCCTTTCCACAATGTAGACATTTTTCCTTTGGATGATGACATGTTTTGCTTGTCTTTTCCTTTGGATGTTTTTCGCTCCATAGGTTTGAAATACCAAAGAGCAACACGCTGGTCTAAATATTGAACTTGACTGTGTTCCTTTTGTGTTAGCTTGTTTTGTCTGGCATGTAGGCTGTTTTTCTGTCATTGTCAAACTATTTATTTGGTTTAGCTTGACCTTTCAGATTCTCCAGTTCGTAGAGGCCGGACAGATATCAAGAGAACCGTTGATCCTGCTAAAGTTTGTATAGAGGATAAACTGGTGAGTGCCATGTCATGTTTCAGTTTGTCATAGGTGATCCGCCTAACTTATCCTGGTCAAAATTTCTTGTAAATATACGGCAGCAAAGAAACTACTATTTTTTTTGGCAAGTGAGAATTTTCTGTCTTCTTTGTTCTAATACAAACTCCCTACAGGAGACAAGTAATAGGAGTTCTTTAAGCAGCAAATCAGATGCATCACCCATGAAGAAGCTACTAGCAAATGAGATAGCCAAAGAAGTGGAATCAAAGAGGAAACCGCCGAGTGTTGTTGCCAGGTTGATGGGGCTTGAAGATGATCTACCTGCTCAAGAACAGGCATTACATTCTCCCAAAAGAAATTTGAGGAGAAGTCATTCACATGATAATTATGCAGCAACAAAGAAGGCCCTGCAGCAGCAAGAGCTGCGCCTCTACAACAAAACAACACGGGGCAAACACACAGGCCCCAATGAAACAGTAGAATTTAAGGATGTGTATGCAGTCTGTGAAGAACCATTAAGAACACATCATCTTCAGGATCAAACTTCTTCAGGAGTGAGGTCTTCACAAAACAAGAGAGACGAAAGGATAGAAGTTGTTCGACAAAAGTTCATACAAGCAAAACGTCTTGCCACAGATGAAAATTTCCTTCATTCAAAGGAGTTTCACGAAGCCCTGGAGGTTCTAAGTTCAAATAAGGATCTGTTTCTAAAGTTCCTTGAAGAACCAAGCTCTGTTTTCTCGAACCCGCTCTATGGACAACACACAATGCCTGCATCACCTCAGACAAAGCGCATTACTGTCTTGAAACCATTTAAATCTCCTGAGAATAAAGGGGCAAGAGAAAGCAGAACACACGGAGTTGATGAAGAAAATGACTTTGTAATGGGAAAGTCTCACAAGAGATCTCATTCAGCAGAAGATGCCTTCTCGAAGCCAAACAGGATAGTGGTCCTAAAGCCAAGTCCTGGGAAACCTAACAGAGCACATGCCAGGCTAACTCCCAGATCATCTCCATTTGAACTGATTCAGCGGACAGCCTTTCTTGGTGATTTACAGGATGGTACATCCACCCTAGGATGTACAGAAGTATCGGGTGCTTCGGCTCAATACCTGCCAGAAGATCGACGGCGGCGGGATGAGTCTCTACTGTCTTCTGTATACTCAAATGGGTATAATGGAGATGAGAGCTCTTTAAGCAGGTCAGAAGGTGATAACATTGATGAAGATGGTGGTAGCCTAAGTGACTCGGAGGTAGTCAGTCCAGTGTCGCGGCATTCATGGGATTATATCAAAAGATATAGCAGTACTTACTCATCTTCAACTCATAGCAGGGCATCTCATTCACATTCAGCTGAGTCATCTGTGATCAAAGAAGCCAAAAGGCGACTTTCCGAGAGATGGACAACGGTAGCATGTGATGAGATCAGACAAGAAGTAAAGTTGCCAAGGACCTCAAGAACTCTGGGTGACATGCTCTCCATCAAAGAAACTGAGAAAGAGGAAACTGTTACTGTAATAAACTCTGCTTCAAGTAGCCGGTCGTGTGGCACAAAAAATGAGTTGGCCATGCAAGCTAGTTCCGTATCTACATTAAGAGAGGATGAAACCGGGGAGAGCTCTCCAAGAAATTTAGCGAGATCAAAATCTCTCCCGGTGTCATCAGCAATGTTTGATAACATGGTGGTGTCTGCAAATTCTGAAGGCTGTGAAACACCGAAGGTGGATACAAGGCAAGGTAAAGGAAAATTATCATTCAAGGGGAAAGTATCAAGTTTTTTCTTCCCTAGAAGTAAAAGGCTGGCAGAGGAGAAAACTACCGTTCCTTCTGATAGCGGTGAGAAGGTTCAAGTCACTTTTCTTGACGACAAGCGATCAGAGACCAATAGTGACCTTCAATTTGATGAGCAAATAGCATTTTGCAAGGACAAAGCTGACAATTCCACCATACAAACAAATTGTTCTTTAAATGTACGCATTAATCTCAAATTATTTCGTTTATGCCTTACTATTTGCTTGTTGTCTATGGCCATGAGTATGGGGCTTTTGATGCAAAAGATTATTGTTGTGCTTACTAACTTGTTGACATGTAGCAGGAGGATGTTGGTTCCATGGAAGCACCTGTGTCTTCTGACTGCCCTAGTGGATATACTGATGAACCCGTATCAAACGGTGGCCTAAAATGCATGCGTGATCAGCCTAGTCCTACTTCAGTTCTGGATGCATCATTTGAAGCTAGCAACACTAATGAACCTGAATCATCAAGTAGTACCAGTGCCTGCAATGAGAGTAAGTTTGTCCTTTTTTTTCTAATTGTTGAGCCTTTCGTCTCCCTGTTGGTATACATACTAAGTATTTGTTCTTATTACGTTACAGGAGCTGCCTTACGATCTCGTGCAATTGAGTCTGTTCCCCGCTCGTTATCATGCAAGGACACATACTCACATTCGCCATTACACATGCATCATCTGAATTCCTCAAATGCAGAGGATAATGAATCAGAATGTTATGCCCTTGTACAGAAGATACTATCATCTGCTGGATTAGACAACCTACAAGTGAGTATGGTTTTCACAGGTTGGCATTTGGCCGATTGCCCTCTTGATCCCGCACTGTGTGATAAGTTCCTGGACCGCAAGGAGGAGGCTGCTAAATCGAGGGAGCGTAGGTCAAACCAAAAGCTTCTCTTCGATTGTGTAAACATGGCATTGGTTGAGACTGGCCAGGAAGCCTTGCTAAGAACCTACCCATGGGGTAAAGCATGCTTCGGAGCACGGAGCGAGGCATTGTCTCAAGATTTAGGGGAAGAAGTATGGAGCCATGTGAGGGATTGGCTGTACAGGGCGGAGAGGCTCGCGGCCAATGAGTGTAGTGATGCTGCAATGATGCTGGAAAGAATCGTGCATCAAGAGGTGGAAGGAGGAGGCTGGGTGAAATCAGCGAGGTCGGAAGCGGATGAGATGACGAAACAGATTGCAGATGGCCTGTTGGTGGAGCTAGTCGGAGAAGCTGTGGCGGATCTCGCAGTTTGTTTTCCACAGCAAGATCTCGCAGTGCCAATGCCAATGCCAAATCTGTAGGAAGCAACTGCTCTGTGTGTGATGCTGTTATCATAGGAGAAGTGGTCTTAAATTTGTTGTGCTGAGAGAAACCTTCAGCATCTTCATACTACTAGCTTGTAACCCAAGTCCACGTAGTTGCTTCTGCATATACCTGTAGCGCACCACAGATTGTACTACAACTCTTTTGGTCAAACCATGTCAACTGTGCAGCCCTGCACAAGCCATCTGGAGCAACTAGTTTTTCCTTTTAACTGTCACAATAGCATATTGTACTGTTACCAGCTCCAGCAGCATGTGGTTTCAGTATACTCTTTAACTCTCTGTTACTACAAAGAAAGGAAATTTTTTGCAAGACCCATGCATGTGTGTTTGACTTAAGAAGGCACTGCTCCCTACGTATTATATATTAGCAGGTCAGGGCTTGCAATATAATACTCCTAGATGCATGTGTCAGTTAGCACCCTGTTGTGTTGTCTTGAGCGCTTTGTCAATCTGTACGGATTACGAGCAGGATTAATTAATGGAGCAACTTAACCTAGGATGGATCATTTTGGTGCGCAAGATGACAGCACGAGCCAAGACAAGGCCACGCACGACTAATGAGTCCTTTTTGTCGGCCCTGCGCATTCTTCACGCCTGCGATTTGCTACTCTGGATAGGATAGGATACTTTTGTTATATCAAGGTGTTAGGTGTAGCAGTATTTGTTTAAGCAAAGCGCTGGGGCAGATGTTTCTCTTGACTTTGTAGTGTAACCTGGTGCATGGTTTGGCGTCTATGTGTTTGACTGTAAGGTGCTGGGGCACTAATGTGGAACCAACTGTTCACCAGCTTTAGCTTGGCACGCACTCCTGGTAATGTTTTCAGAGGGCTGGTAGATCCTTGGGTTGTTTTTTCACATATGAACTCTGCATCTGCTTATCCTCTCTTGTGAGACTGTTTATTCATGCTGACCCAGCTCACGCCACCAAAAATCAAATCCACGCAGTGGCTGTGATCGGATGTGGTTTCGTGGATCTTCAGACCGCGATGCTCGCGGTGCATCCCTTGCGGTAAAAAAGCCGCAAGAATATTGGGCTGGAGGGGCCGCGCGGTAGGCCTCCCGCGAGCGACATCTTCGTCCTGCTGGCCTTGGCAGCTGCCATAACGACGCCAGCACAAAACAGTGCAAAACTGGCCCGCCCTCCGTTGATACCCTTTTGCATGTGCTGGGCCTCTCGTGCCATCAGCAACCAACTGGCCACACGGACGCTGGCACGACCATTGTTCACTGTTGCACAAGGACCACCGTTCATTGTTGCACAAGGACCACTGTTGCGGCGTCGCGAAAGCCAGTTGTTTGTTTCAGAGAGAGACGTCCATGCATGAGGAAGCACGCTCGTGCCGGTCATACGTGGCCATGGATGCTTGATGCTTCAGTCTGTGTTTTCACAGCTCATACCGGCACATCAACCACGGATGCTGTTCTCTTGGTTGCATATATCTTTTCATTTTTGTGCCAACTACGGCAGACGCAGCACGACATCTTTTTCAAGATACAGGATGCCTTACTCGAATCCAAGGGATTTTTTTAGCCATGCAAAGCCCGGGGATTTAAAATTCTAGTCAAGCGAATTTGGACCCCAGAGTCTGTAAAAAGGTTGCAACCCAAGTCCACGTACGAGTAGTTGCTTCTGCATATACTCCTGTAGTGGTGCACTGCAGATTGTACTACAACTCTTGTGTCAAACCATGTCAAATGTGCAGCTATGTAGGAGTACAAGTCATGTGGAGCAACTAGTTTTTCCTTTTTATTAATTATTATTAATAAAAATTTCGGTTTTTACTTTCACAGTGTAGGATATTGGAATAAGGCCTAACGGATGGTCTAAAACATTAAGACCATGGACTCGTACCTACTCACAGAGTTCATGACTCATCTCATCACACAACAAAAACTCACCCTTGAGGCAGATCAGAGGGGGGCCATCACCGGTGATACTTGTAACACAAGGGAGTTGATGACGTCAGAGAAGATAAATACCTGCTTCCTCCATGGAGATGGCAACAAGCTCCGAGCCACAGGGTTTGGCGACGTCCTTGATGCTAGGTAATGGTGACATCCTTCCTTGCTGGATTTGGATTCGTAGAGGAAGAAACTCCGACGGGCAGATTGGGAGAGGAAGAAGCTCAGGTGGGAAGAAATGGGGGTTTTGCACGCGAACAGGGATGGGTCGATGCAGGGCAAACGTATTTAAAGAGACTAAATGCGCCAAACAACCAGACCACCTTAGTAAGAGCATCTCCAATAGACGGTTCATATGTAAAAATAACTAACTTTTGAAGCTTCGAGAGCAAAAAAACGCTGCTCCAAGAGACGGTCCATATGTAAAAAAACTTGGACCACCGCCTCCCGAATATATAAAATTGAAAACTTCGTGATGCAAATTTACATCACGAGATGTAACTGATGTAAAACCGCGACCACCCGCCAAATGCCTAACCGCCACTTCATTCACCTTCCGCCTCGCGATCGCCCCCCCCCCCTCGGCCTTCCATCGCCGCCATGGCTGAAGCGGACGACCCGCCGCCTTCTCCGCCGCCGCTACAGCCGGTGGGCTGACCCACATCGCCGCCGCCGCTGCCGCCGCGGCGAGCTCGCCCTCCACCGTCGCGTCCATGCCGCCGCCCCCTCCCCCGCTCCCCCGCCCGCCGCCCCGGGTTCACACCACCCCGGTCGGTCGCCACCGCGCTAGCGGTTCCTATGAAGGCGACGAAGGCATGAAAACAGCCGGCAAATCGCGACCGGAACCTGGCCGAAACTGCGGCGCGGTGATGTCTACTACACAACCTTCTTATTGTAGACTCATGTTGGCCCCCCATGCGCAGAATTTTGTAGGACAGTAGCAATTTTCCTTCAAGTCGATGACCTAAGGTTTATCAATCCGTGGGAGGCGTAGGATGAAGGTGGTCTCTCTCAAACAACCCTGCAACCAAATAACAAAGAGTCTCATGTGTCCCCAACACACCCAATACAATGGTAAATTATATAGGTGCACTAGTTTGGCGAAGAGATGATGATACAAGTGTAATATGGATGGTAGATATAGGTTTTTGTAATCTGAAAATATAAAAACAGCAAGGTAACTAGGAACGAAAGTGAGCAAAAATGGTATTGCAATGCTTGAAAACAAGGCCTAGGGTTCATACTTTCACTAGTGAAAGTTCTCTCAACAATGATAATATAATTATATCATATGGCAATCCCTCAACATGCAACAAAGAATCACTCTAAAGTTTCTATCGAAGAACGTAGGACGAAAACGTGCATCAACCCCTATGCACAGATTACCCCAATGTCACCTCGGGAATCCGCGAGTTGAGTGACAAAACATACATCAAGTGAATCAATAAAACATACCATTGTCACCACAAATATCCCATCGCAAGACATACATCAAGTATTCTCAAATCCAATACTCAATCCAACATAATGAAACCTCAAAGAGCAAGACTCAATTCATCACAAGAAGGTAGAGGGGGAAGAACACCATAAGATCCAACTATAGTAACAAAACTCACGGTACATCAAGATCGTGCCAAATCAAGAACACGGGAGAGAGAGAGAGATCAAACACATAGCTACTGGTACATACCCTCAGCCCCGAGGATGAACTACTCCCTCCTCGTCATGGAGAGCGTCGGGATGATGAAGATGGCCACCAGTGATGGTTTCCCCCTCCGGCAGGGTGCCAGAACGGGCTCTCGATTGGTTTTTCATGGCTATAGAGGCTTGCGGCGGCGGAACTCCCAATATAGATTTGTTTCTGGGGGTTTCTATATTTATAGGAATTTTTGGCGTCGAGAACAGGCCAGGAGGGTCCACGAAGCGACAACAAGACAGGGGGCGCGCCCTAGGGGGGCGCCCTCCACCCTTGTGGATGCCTCGTGGTTCTTCTGGCCCAACTCTTTTGCTTCAGGTGCTTCTTCCAGTCCATAAAAAAACAACGCAAATTTTCAGCTCATTTGGACTCCGTTTGATATTCCTTTTCTGCGAAACTCAAAAACGAGGAAAAAACAAAAACTGACACTGGGCTCTAGGTTAATAGGTTAGTCCCAAAAATAATATAAAATAGCATATAAATGCATATAAAACATCCAAGATGGATAATATAATAGCGTGGAACAATAAAAAAATATTGATACATACGTCTCCAACGTATCAAGCATCCCCAAGCTTAATTCTTGCTCGTCCTCGAGTAGGTAAATGATAAAGACGGAATTTTTGATGTGGAATGCTACTTAACATATTTATCAATGTAATCTTCTCTATTGTGGCAAGAATATTTGGACCATAAAATTCAAAACAAAAGTTTAATATTGACATAAAAACAACAGTACTTCAAGCATACTAATAAAGTAATCATGTCTTCTCAAAATAACATGGCCAAAGAAAGTTATCCCTACAAAATCATATAGTCTGGATATGCTCCATATTCATCACACAAAATATTTAAATCATGCACAACCCCGATGACAAGCCAAGCAATTGTTTCATACTTTTGATGTTTTCAAACTTTTTCGACTTTCACGCAATACATGAGCGTGAGCCATGGACATAGCACTATAGGTGGAATAGAATACAGTGGTTGTAGGAAGACAAAAAGGAGGAGATAGTCTCACATCAACTAGGCGTATGATACATCTATTTTGCATCATGTTTACCTACTGTTATTTATAATATTTTTATGCATAATAAGACTTTTTGGAGTAAATCTAATGCCTTTTCTCTCATAATATGCAAGGTTCACACAAAGAGGGAGAATTCCGGCAACTGGAAATCTGGACCTGAAAAAGTTACGTCGGGCTACCTATTCTGCACAACTCCAAATAAGCTGAAACTTTGTGAGGAATTTTTATGGAATAAATAAGAAATACTAGAGCAAATAACTACCGGAGGGGGTCCACCTGGTGTGCACAAGACACCAGGGTGCGCCTTGGCCCCCGGATGTGCCCTAGTGGGTTGTGCTCAGCCCAGCC